TCCAGGCCAGGTGGTATTACTGACACGGGAGGCGTCTGGAACATCAGAGAGCCTGTGGGAGGCAGGTGGGAGCCAAGGCACTCACAAAGCCACCGATTCAGAGAGTGGCCTCTGGAGGCTCACATTTAAAGGCCAGACCATGTGTAAGCTGCCTTACATGTGTCATTTCATTCAAAGCTAAGCCCTCTGCAGCTGCAAACTTGTGGTTCCCTTGGCAAGAGGCAAGTCTGTTCCGAGACATGACAAAGGGAATCTTGATCCAGCTGGAATTACTCTTAAGGTTTTGGATATACTGCAGTGCAGTTTATCTATCTTGTGTGTGCCATGCAAACCAATTCATTAACTTGTTCAACACTTTGAAGACCAGCTGTGTATCTGAGTTGACACTTAGAGGGACAAAGGGATGAAGCAGTCATGAGCCTTGTGCTCAAGTAGTTAATAATTTACTCAGAAATAAAATATAGCTAAGTAACATATTACAAGATTGAAAGTGTAGACCAGAGCTACATTTACATTTGCATATATACTTACACATGTAAGTGTTCTTATTTCTGAATAGTTTAGATTGCCCCTATTATGTGGCGAGGCATTGTATAAGATACTTTACAAGTGGTATATCAAATCCATACTGTTGAAGAGGAGACCTCTCTCCCCACACTTCCACTCTGGGCCACCCCCTTCCAAGTTTATGTCCCCATGCCCTCCAGAAGGAAAGGAGTTATGGGTCTGATTATTCAGAACCCAGGACATGCATTGAGCCATTTTGCCCACGGGCAGGGTCCCTCTGCCTTGAAGATCAGCTTTATGGCGGAACCACCTGTCTTTTTCCTATACATGGGGTCAGGGGCTTCCTAGGGGCTGCTCACCCAGGTCTGGCCTCTGTCCCATCTTCCTTATTCTTGTTCCTGCGAGGGGAGGCAAGAAGAAGCCCAAAGAAGGGCTGGCATCTTCATTCTTCTGGGGAAGAAACAGGCAATCTTCTGTGGCTTGCCAGCCTAGCCAACATCTTCCAACTCAGCCTTTGCCAGACTCTGTCTTGGTTGGTTACCACAATTAATAAAGTGTTCCTGGGGCGCCTGGGTGGCTCAGGTGGTTGAGCTTCCAACTCTTGATCTCAGCTCAGGTCTTGATCTCGGGGTCACAAGTTCGAGCCCCACATTGGGCTCCACACTGGGTGTGGGGCCTACTTAAAAAAAAGTACAGATAAAGTGTTCCTGATTCCCACTTGGCTGCTATCAGGCTTTCACGGAGGGCCCTAGTCAGGAGTCCTGAAGGGAAAGAGATGAGTCCTGAGATATGGCTATTCCTAGCCCAAGAAAACTCAAGGTTAATCACTTCCACTTCATAGAGATAACATCAGAGAATGTTACCTCTTTTAAACTCCTGAAGAGTTTCTCCACAGTGAGTGGTGGAGCCAGGATTCGAACCAGCTACTGTCTGACTGTCTGATTTTAAACCATAGCTCTTGCCACCACTCACACTGCCAAGAATGAAAATCAAAGAACACACTAGGGAAGCTCCAGGGTGGTAGGGGGAACACATTCCTTCTGGCAAACTCTTCATGGAAAGGAAACATTTGAACTTGGGAGAACTGGGAGCACTTGGACATGAAGAGGTGGGAGCATGGCTTTCCAGGAGGAAAGAAGAGCAGGTATTCGGGAACTGGCTGTTAGGCCAGGGAGAACACAAGGCAAACTGTGCCTGCTAGCAATTCCCAGCATGAGCAGGAGGTGGAATGCCCCTATAAAATATCCCCCAGCCGGGTCATTGTCCAGTCATGCACATTTGGAAGTGACCTTCTGCCATTCCAGGCTGCCAGAATCTGCCTGTGTCTACCACCGAAGCTCAGCTCATTCTGTTTCCCTCTGAGGACTCTGGCCTGTGATGGGCCATGTTCGTGCCTGCTCTGAGCCCTGGGCCGGAGCTGTTGCCCTCGCCTGCCTCCTCCTTCCCTGAGGTGTTTGGACCTGGCGCTGGCTAGTGTGGTGTAAAGAACCCAGGCTTGGGGGTTTGCGGCCAACTTTGTGTTCTAGCTCTGTGGCCTTGGGCAGGCGACCTAAACTGCCCTATCAGCCCCTGTTTCTTCTTCTGTAACATGGAGATAGCAGCACCTACCTCATGGAGTTGCTGTGAGGCTTTACAAAAATAACGTGTGCTAGTATAATAGATGCTTAGTGAACAGGGGCTCGTGTTGGTATTTCCATCCCTTAGGGTCAGAATTACCTCCAACTCTTTCATGAATCTCTCCTTGAGACCTAATTTCAAAACTCTTCCTTACCTCCTTCATTTCTTTACCTCTTACCACCCTTCATGGAAGCCCTCTTGGTTAATTATATCTCTCCATTATTCTGCCTTACACTGAATGCCCCCGGACTTCTATTGTATATGCTTTTTGTCTATCTTGAGACTGCCACTAGAATGTAGCTACCTGGGGGCAAGAAATTTTGTACATTTGATTCACACTGAATCCCCAACTCCTAGGTCTTTGCCTGGGCACAGTAGGAACTGAGTAAATATTTATTGAATGAATGAATGAATGAATGAATGAATCCTCTGACCTCCCTCTCACCTTCCTGAATCATTCTTTTTCTGTTTCCATCTTCTCCAATTTAGCCTTGTGCCTCCCCTTCCTGAGGACACAGGACACAGGACACAGGACAGTGTGACTGTGAAACAGCACAGTTACGTTCAGTAACTCTGTATATAAGGAAACGGGTCATCACATAATCCATAACCAGGTGGAAAATTTTTCTCTCTCTAGTGCTTGAAAAAAAAAGAAAGTCACCTGTTCTTATTCTAGATTGTATAGGTATACATTTGGCCTTGCAGACAACCCTATCTCTGTGGGCTATTTGTAAAGCACTTCGAGACTTTAAGGAGTGGATTACCTACAGAACATACTGTGGCCCCCAGTTTGTGCAGTTTGTTCTGCTATAGCCTGCAGGACGGAGAACCTCCTGGTTACAGGAACATGGACCCCAAAGCAGCATGCGCTGCAGTGCCTGTGTATATTCTCCCCTCTGCCATAGCTTATTGTTTCCTAAGAGTCTGTGATTCTAAAACGCTCCTCAGTAGCTTCCGATGATTGTCTTGGCCGAGCTCTCCCTTCCCAGAATGGGATGGGAGGATGTGTCATTGTACATGGCACGGGCAGTGCCCTTTCCCACCCATTACTTCAGAGCCTGGGTCAGTACTGATCTCTCAGTGTGTTAGGAATGGTCCTGTTCTAGGGCCTTGCCAAACAACACAGCCACATACCCTTGACCTCTCCCTCTGGCTGTACAGAGACCAAGTCATTTGAAAATGCTGCTTTGTCCAGGCACCTGGGTGGCTCAGTCTGTTAAGCATCTGACTCTTGGTTTTGGCTCAGGTCATGATCTCAGGATCGTGTGATCGAGCACCATGTCAGGCTCCATGCTAAGATTCTCTCTCTCTCCCTCTCCCTCTGCCCCTCCCCCCACCCCAGCTTGGCACAAGTGTGCGCACACTCAAAAAAGAAAAGGAAATGATGCTTTGTCTTTATCGTGGACCAAATAAAATTGTGAGGTGGCCCTTCCTCTGTGCTCCAGCCAATCTCTTGGAATACAAGAGGAACTATTGTCTCTAGGTGGGATTGTGGTAGAGGTGATGTGATGGGGCAGTGGAGTTGAGTTAAGGGGGAGGCAGTGTGGTTGGGGTGGTAATATTCTTCCAATAAATATATAAAAATACAAATAGCAATCAACTAGGAACATGCATTTGGACTGGCCAGAAGAGAATGAAGTGAATGTCAACTAAGTTTTCTGGGATTCACCCTAGTTGAAATTTGGGGCAAACTCACCAACCCACCTTCAAGAGTGGGGCTAAGATTTGTTATGCCCTTTGGTAGCTTAACAATTATTTTGAGGGGGCGCCTGGGTGGCTCAGTCACCAGTTAAGCGTCTGCCTTAGACTCAGGTCATGGTCCCAGGGTCCTGGGATCAAGCCCCGCATCAGGCTCCCTGCTCAGTGAGGAGCCTGCTTCTCCTTCTCCCTCTGCAGCTCTCTCTGCGGCTCCCCCTGCCAGTGCTCTCTCACTCTCGCTCTTTCTCATATAAATGAATAAAATCTCAAAAAAAATTATTTTGAGTTCATATATTTCTATGATTCTTGAAATAAGCAACATTAGGAAACTGGCTTTGCTTGGGAATCAGGATGTTTTCCCTTCTTACAGGCTTCAGTTCAAGAACCATTGCTCCTCGGTTGTCATAAACCATTTGGGGATCTCCTCTGAAGTCTCTAGCCCTCTCTCACTTCCTGCCATAAAAGCTTTTCTGTCTCCCTACCAAGAGTGTGGGTTTTGCATCTTCAGAGCTGAATGATTCTTGGACTCCCAGCACTCCTAGGTCCAGTTTCAGGTAAAGGTAAGGTTGACTGACATTCCCTTGGAGAACAAGTTCAGGCCTGGGAGCACTGATGGCATCTGGCTATGTGTACCAGCATGAGGGCTCAGGTCCAGGCTTGCCAGTCATCACTCCCCCTGCCAGTGACCTGATGTCTGCTGCTCTCCCCTTATGAGCCTCACATAAGCCTGTTTGCTTATCTGTAAAATGGGAATTATAAATCTAGTCCCACTGCTTCCCTCATGAACAACCAAGGGGAAAAATGATAAAAAGGATTTTATAAAAAATAAAGCCCAGTATAGTAATTATTTGTCTAGCATGTCAGTAATGTGTTTATTGTATAAAACATAGATAAGAAAAGGGGTATCAAATAATAGCAATTAAATAAAACTGGGTTTGAGAGTCAAATACTTTTTGAGGCAAAGCAAATAGGTTTCTTTACTGCAGGACTTCCAAGTGGTTTTAGTATACAAATATATTATAAATTTCCAAGAGGGACATAAAATAGTGTTTTTAAATTTATGTGAACTCCTCTGCTTTTTAAAAAATTGAGTATCTCTTACAATGTGTGTATCTCAAGCACAGTTTGGGAAACACTGAATTGGGTAAGATTATTGTTGCTATTGTGATTGCATCCAGGTGGTTCAAGGCCAACTCAGTGCAAATCTCTTCCCTGAAAGTGAGGCTGATCGAGTTCCCTGTCCTGGAGATGGAAATGCAGGCTCAATGCCTGGGTGAGTCTAATTTGTCTCATTAGACTTCCTACTAGTTCTTTTGGTTCTCTGGTGGGTCTTTCCGTTGCATCCTGAGGTTCCATGGGTTCTGGCTCTGATTTCAGCTTGAGTTGCCACGAGCCAGGGAGCTTGTGAGGAGGGACTTTCCCTGGGCTTCTTAGTTTCCCAGTCTTACCTCTCTCCTGCTGATGCAGCTGCCGATGGGAGGTGGCCAGGGCCTAAGCATAACTGAATCATCCTTAATTCCAGGCCAGAACACGCTCAGAGCTCTGTTCTCTGGCAGGACCAATCAAAAATGGTCTGTCTGTACCTCTCAGCACATTGGCAGGGACTTGTTGGACCCCATACATGCAGAAAAGACACCTTTTTTCCCCTTTCTTTACTCCAAGAATTTGATTTTGTTAAGAAAATAATTTTTTAAATGACAAATTGAGTTATGCCCATTGTAAAAATTTCCAATAAGACAAGTATGTGTGAGATTGAAAAGGGAATTTCCCTCCTTCTTATCTCACATTCTTCCATCCCCAAGTGTGCAATGTATACTATTCTAGATCTTTCTCTCTGCACATATAAATTGATAAATAGATTTGCTTGTTTGGTCAGATGCACTGCATCTTTCTAATTTTACTCAGCAATATTCTGTGGACAGCCTTCCGTGTCCAGGCATAGATGTGAACCACCTTTGCCTTATGTTTTTAAAGTCAAGTTTATTGAGAGGAAAATTCACATAAAACTCACCGTTATTAAGAGCACGGTTTGATGAGTTTTGACAAAGTAGACAAACAACAACCACTCAATCAAGATAAAGAACAGTTCCATCACCACCAAAGTTCCCCTTGTAGCTGGCTCTCATGACCATAACTGCCGGTCACCACTGAGCTGTTCTCCATCCCAGTAAGTTTTGCCTTTTCCAGAATGCCTTATACATGAAGTTGTGCGGTATGTAACCTTTGTGTTGACTTTAGCAGAATGCATTTGAGATTCATCCATGATACTTGTTTCAGTAGTTCATTACATCTTACTGCCATGTAGTATTGCATTGTACACAATTGGTTACACCACTTGATGGCCATTTGGGTTGTTTCTAGTTTCTTGTCATTACAAACAAAATAGTTAGGAACATTCCCGTACAAGTCTCTTTTGGTGGATATAGGTTTCATTTCTCTTGTATAAATACCAAAGAGCAGTATTGTTGTGTGGTGTGGTAAGTGTATATTTAACTTTAAAAGAAACTGCCAAACTGTTTTCCAAAGTGGTTTGCCATTCTGCATATTCCCACTAGCAGTGTGTGAGAGCTCCAGTAGCTCTCACCAACACTTGGGATTGTCAGTCTTTTTAAACTTAGCCATTCTAGTAGTACGTAGCGATGTTTCATTAAGGTTTTAATCTAGATTTCCCTAATGACTAATGATGTTGAGTATCTTTTCCTGTGCTCATTTGCCATTCACATATCTCCTTTGGCAAAGTATCCGCGTTTTGCCCTTTTCTTTTAGTTGGGTTGTTTGTTTCATTATTATTGAGTTGTAAAAGTTATTTATAAATTCTGATTACACATCCTTTATCATATACATGTTTTGCAAATATTTTCTCCTAGTCTTTGGCTTGTTTTTTCAACTTAACATTGTTTTTCAAAGAGCAGAAGTTTAAAAATTTTGATGAAGTCCAATGTAATGCTTTTCTTAAATGATTGGTGCTTTTTGTGTCCTATTTAAAAAACTTTTTTCACAGAAGCAGAGAGTCAAATGCTGATTACCAGGGATTAGGGAAGATGGGGAAAGTGGAGAGATATTGGCCAAAGGGTATGAAGTTTCAGTTATATAGGATGAATAATAATGTACACCATGGTGGTTATAGCTAATAATACTGTTTTGTACAGTTGAAATTTTCCAAGAGAGTAGTTTTCAAGCATTTTCACTAGAAAAAAGGTAACCATATGAGTTGACAGATATGTTGATTAGCTTGACTGTAGTAATCATTTCACAAAATATATGTGTATCAAAACATCATGTTATATACCTTAAATATATACCATTTTTATTTAAGAAAAAAATTTTAATTTAAAAGGCGAAATCCAAGGTCACTAGGGTTTTCTTGTGTTTTCTTTTACAAGGTTAATAGGTTTCGCTCTTACATTTAGGTCTGTGATCTATTTTGAGCTAATTTTTATGTATGGGGCAAAGTAAGAGTTAAGATTAATTTTTGTTTGTTTTGCATATGGAAGACTCATTTTTCCAGCATCGTTTGTTGCAAAGACTACTTTATTCTTTGTAATGACTGTATAATGTTTCACTGAAGAGAGGTCCCATGATTTATTCAACAATCTTATATTCACGGAGAGTCAGGTTTTTTTAAATCTGAAGCTATAATGAACATCCTCATACCTCAACTACTGGGCAGTTGAACAAGTATTTCTGTAGACTTTCTGGGTCAAACGACATGTGAATGTTATGCGTTGATGGGTACCATCAGATTGTGCATCAGTATACGTACGCTCCCACCTCCATGACCTGTGAGAGAAAGCTCAAGTTTTGATTGGCTTTATTGGTGTAAGCCTTTTACAAATCCCAAATAATTTCCTTCTGGATAATCTAATAGCCTGTGTTATTAGATTCTGAAAGATTGAGAGTCCTTCCAGGAGAGTTTGAAGAAAGATGATAACTTCTCAGTTAGGGTAACCCTGTAAGAAATAGGCTCATAAAATACACAGTCCATGGGAAATGGAAATTTACAGAGCTGTTTTCATAAGTATTGGGGCTTATTAATACCTCTATGCTGGGCCTCCCCAAAGGGCAAAGGTGACTCACATCCCAGTGGTCTGAATGTGTACATGCAGCCTCTCCTAGGCAGGCCCTAACTCTTTGTGGCTGGCTGTCCACATTCCCTCTCACTTTCTCCCCATCCTTGCCAGAACCCTCTCTTGTACCAGACCCGGGCCAGCCAGCTGTATGTGCATAGGCACAAAGAGGGGGCTGGGAAATGCAATTGACTCAGTGTGCCTGGAGCATAAGATTATGCCAGTTTTCCTACTTTTCTTTTCATCCTATGGTGCTGTGATTTGATCAAATTAACTGACATTGTTGAGGATTAGGTGACAAGGATTGTCCTGGGGTACACAGAGCTATGGGACAGTGTTCTATCTTCAGGGACATTAACACAAGTTAAGTAGAAAAGCAAAGTGATTTAGAAGCAGCTCAAAAACTGTAGCAGCAGGTATCACAGGCAGGACATATTGATCCACCTTGTGCCAACTGCACAGTCAATGGTAAGATCTAGGTGTTGAGAGAAGGAAGAAATAAATTTGGTTTCACAGGAGGAATCTGAGCTGATGGTGAAAGTTCAGATTCTTGGCACCAGGTCACTCAAGAGTTACCTTCCTCCAAGGTAGACCGTGCTTTCTCCAAGCCACCAAAAGCCCAAAAGCCCGCTGCTGAGACTGTAGGTTTCAGGAGTTAAGAAGAATAAGCCTGAGAATTTCCTGGTGGGTTTAGCCAACAATCACAGAGCCTTCCGTCAGATAGTTTGGGAAGAGCTAAAGCTGTCCTGTTAATTTTGAATGTAGCCCAAGTTTATTTTTCATGCTTTCAAAAGATTTTCTTATAAACCCTTTGTCAGCTAGCTATTGCTGCATAACAAATCATCCTAAAACCGAGGGGTTTAAAACAGCTATTTTATATGCTCATGAATCTGTAATCTGGGGTGAGGTCACCTAGGCAGTTCTTTTTTTTTTTTTTTTAAGATTTTATTTATTTATTTGACAGAGAGAGATACAGCGAGAGAGGGAACACAAGCAGGGGGAGTGGG